GGAAGGGGCCATAGAACACTCCCCATCCATTAACAAGCTCTTATCCCCTACCCTCTCTCTCTCTCTCGCGGACTCAGAGGTCTGTCAGCCGCGCGGCCGTCTAACACTTCGTCCGCCAAGCTCTTATCCCCTAAACCCTATAAGGGTTTAGGGTTTAGGGTTTAGGGTTTAGGGCCTATAATCATAAACCCTAAGCCGGATACTTGAGATCCTCAGCCGTGAGCCCTGAGCCGGAAACTCCAAGGCCTGAACCCTCAAAGCTTCAAGGTTTAGGGTTTAGGGTTTAGGGTTTAGGGTTTAGGGTTTAGGGTTTAGGGTTTAGGGTTTAGGGTTTAGGGTTTAGACTCTCACAGGAACCAGTTTTTTCAACCCTGGAAGCCTAAAGCTCTCAACTTCGAACCTGTTAAAAACCTTCTTAGCCGCCACGGCTAAACCCTTAAGCTCCTATTACATATATACTCTAAACGGGGCCCAAAACCCTATTCTAATTATTACGGCCCCTACATTACGTGATCCTTCTGAAGCCTTCTTCTTAGAGGCTTTGAACCCCGAGTCCCTAAACCCTAAACCCTAAACCCCTTCTGTCGGGCTCTGGGCCTGCAGCAACGGGGGAAGGCTCGGCTCCTCGTCTCGCCACGCCCAGGAGGAGGACGAGGAGGGCTGGGCCTCGAAACCTAGGCTCCAACAGCTCTAGTTTGGAGGTTCATGGGTAGTTATAAGTGGGGGGTTAGGGTTCCTTTAAGGGCTCCTTTAAAGGGCGCTACAGGGTTTAGGGTTTAGGGTTCAGGGTTTAGGGGTAGTTACAAGTGGGGCTATATAAGTCCCCTAATATGGGTTATAAGTACAGTTACCCTACCTATAACTCCATTTATAACTACCCACGAACCTCCAAGTAAGTCCCGACCGGGTACCGTACAAAAGGCTAAGACCCCAGAGTTGAACGCAAGTACAACAGCGGGTGCACGTCAGAAGCACTAAGCCTAAGAAGAAGAAGAAGAAGAAGAAGAGCCGAAGTAACAACAGCAAAACTACTGCAATAAGAACAGCACGCGTAACAACAATAAAGAATACTGAGAATCACAATATTGATATTGTAACAGTAACTTCCACCTTGCTGCTGTTTTCGACTCTCACTCTCGCACACAGCAAGCAACGATCCTCACAAGCTGCTGTTTTACGCTGTCGCAACTCAGACAAGCCAGGCGAGGTCTCTTGGTTTGCAGTCGAACAAGGGGAGCAAAGCTCAGCATCACCCTACGAAAGGTACAGTAATCAGGCATAGGTAACCCCAGGAAATGTTTAAGGTTTAACGCGAAAGGATTGAGGGCTTAGCGTCTTGATTTCAGGGTTCGCGGTTTCAGGTTTAGTGATCTTGTGCTGGCTCCGTGTGCGTTAGATATGTCCATTACACATGCATGTCTACGTACGTGACTGCATATGCCCGTAGGGGTAATAAGCATCTGCCGTACGCATGTATGCAGGAGCTTCTACCTGGACAAGGGATAGTAATGTAGACGTGTCTTTTGCTGGCAAAAATGCCTTTGGCTATTTCTGGTGAGTTTACCTCTCCTTTCTGCTCATCCATTTAAATTTAGTCCATGGGTCTCCACAGCAACCGATGTTTCAAAGTCAGCTTACGAAAAGCAAACAAAGCAAAAGACTGCAGGTAGACGGGAAGCCAGCTGCTCCCCAGCCGTCACTCTCCAGCCGTTCCGTTGAAGAGGTGGGCAGCGTGTCAAAGCTGTCTTGACCCCGCCTTGCAGAGGAGCCCGAAGCCGTGGAGGCCGTGGAGGCGGCCGACAGCGCCGGTCGCGCCTTGGCCTTCGCCTTCCGCTTGGAGCGCGGGGCAAGGCGGACCTCGCGCCCCGAGTTGATGCTCAGCGCGGCGCTGGCCACGGGGCGCCTGGGCCTCTGCCCGGCTGGCATGGCCTCGTTGGCCTCGGCCTCGTCGCTGGAGACTTCCATGTGTAAAGTGCGGTCCGGCTCGGCGTCGTGGACTTCGTTCGTCACAATCTCCACGTCCACGAACTCCTCCTCGACCACCAGCGCTCGGGACACGAGAGGTATCCTTGCCCGGCGCGCGTGCCGCGCCAGCCGCCTCCTTGCCCGGCCGCAGAAGTTCACATCGAGGACCTCGAGCTCCCCCCGAGAGCCGCTTCGGACGTAGCTGCCGTCCTCGTCCTCGTCCTCTTCGTCCTCTCGTAAGGACTCCCATGCAGACTCCTCAGGTGTAGCCGGAGGTGGAGCTTCTGGCAACGACTCCCACGCATCCTCCGCCTCCTCGGCCGGAGGAGCCGGCTCCGCCTCTTCCGGGCACTCGTCCGCCGGCGTGTGGGGATCCTCCGCGCAGGCGGCGCCGCTCTAAATCGTGGGCCGGAGCTTGCTTAGGCGCCATGTTCTACCTGTGACACCACCCTCTCACAGAACGTCTCTAATTACACCGTGCGACAACTCTTGAATGGCTTATTGTTCTCCGTTGTTGGTATTGCAAGGACGTAGGACTTCTGCTCCTTTATCCGATTCTATCCTTGTTCTCACTGTTCTTCGGCTCTTTTCTGCTCTCGGAGAACTCAAGGGTTTTTGTTTGACTCCTCCTGAGTGGTGGCCGCCTCATCCTCACCCGGCCCAAGCGTGACCTGGCTGCTCGGGTCGGAAGGCTCCGCCATGCCTGGAAAGGCGCTGGCATGGTCGTAACTGGGGCAATTCGAGGCGGTGCGGGAGGTTTCGGAAAAGAAACAAAAAGGGCAGCAATCAGATGATAACAACAACACCGACGGGCCACAGATAAAGGCAGCAACCATGCCCATCATCGTTGCAAACGCCTAACAGGACCAGCCCCTGAATCGGGATAGGGAAAGGAGAAACACAATGCTTGCAATCATCGGAACGACGATGGGGCGAGAATACTTGTAGCATCTTGCAGCCTCTAGCTCCATCATACAACACGACTGACCACTCCAATCGTCATGTTCCCGGCAAACCCATTGTCTTTTGGGGCTAAGGGTTGAGTTGCACAACCTCATGGTAGCTGAAGGAAAGCACGGGCATGACGATGATATTGTCAGACTGCCCATCACCCTGGAGGAACTTCATCTTTGAGAGCAGTCGTAGTGCCGGTGGTGGAAGTGCCGATGGCACTAGTAATAACAGTAATTTGCTGTTGTTGTCGTATCTGTCGCTGTCGTCGTCGTACAGCCGCCAGAGTAGCACCAGCAGTGCAAGCAGTCTCAGTAGCAGTACAGTAGCAGTGGCAGTAGATGCAGCGGAGCAACCGCCGCAGCAGCGGAATATTCGTATTGTCACAGCTGCTACTACTATCGTGATGTTATTCACATTTTAACATGTGTACTTCTGACCAGTACGACGTTTTTGCCACTGCTGCAGCTCTTCTTCCGTTGTCTCTATTGTGCCGATATTGCATGTACTTGTTACTACCGTCACCGTTCCCGCCTCGCTGCAGGCACTACATGACTGATGCCGCCATGGCAAAGCTACTCCACCGGATGGGACAAGTTTTTGGGGGTGAGGTGTCTGTCTGCGGGCACCTGGGAAGGCAAGTGACCTAAGCATCTGCATGTGTCCATGCCTCCTTGTCTGCGACTCAGGGCCCCCAACAGAAGGGGGAAGCAAGAGAAACCATCGGTTAGAACTCCGAGGCAGCCTCAGGTCAAGATACATATCTGAGGTCCAGGGTTTTTGGTCACGTACTCCTAAAGCATGAATGAACCCTACATTTATTACAAACATGGCTTCTTGCACAGTAAAGTACTCTTGAGTCTCCAGGGTCTACACTATGCCTTCGGCACTCTAGGTCCAAACCATGCAGAAAACACCTCTGGCGCCCTTGAGCCAAAGAAAGTGAGCCAGACGGGAGGCAAGGATGCAACCCTAAACCCTAAACCCTAAAGGCAGAGGGTCCAGGGCTCAGGCTTTGGGATCTTTCCTACGGATGGCGCTTTGGGTCGTACTTGGGGTTTGGGCTTAGCGTCTGGGGCTCAGGGTCGCAGGCATCTTACTTCAAGGATCATGGGACTTAGTGAGGGTTCTAATGAGGGTAACTATACTTATAACCCCAATTAAGGGACATATAACCTTACTTACTAAGTCCCATGATCCTCGACGTAATGCTGCACTTTTGCCGCACTGCCTGGAACTGGATCTGGGCCTGGATGTGGGCCTGACGTCGTCCGCTTGAGGAATTCGCAACACCCGAACGCACGAGCCTGGTTTTCAAAGGTCTGGGTTCTACATCCCCAAACGTCACCCTGATAAGAATCCAAGGTTGTTGACAGCACAAAACCATACAATGTGCGTACTTGGACCCGGACAACCCCCTGCAGAAACCCTCATTGCATGACACGCCCCCGCCAAGTCCTGCATGCTCATAGGCTGCACCGGAATTGCGGTAGGTGCCGTCTGCGCTGCGGTGGCATATCTGGGCAACGCAAACCGTCAGCTAGCAGAAACCCTGTGGTGCCGAACTCGAACAGCCGCGGCTCGGACTGAAGACTGTAGGATTTGTGCCATCGGGCTCCCAAGCCAACATTCCAAAGCTTCAGGGAGTCGAACGATCGATGCTTGGCACTGTTCCGGGTTTGGGAGCTCACTGTGTTCCGTGGTGTCCCTGCAGCTGCGCCCTTTTTCTTGCCAATTGCACAGCTCTCGAAGACAGTCTCCAAAACAATGTCCAAGGACATGAGAAGCACAGATTTAAGCACACTGTGGTCCGGCTCATCAGGTCTGTGTCCGAACTCTGATATCACACAAGGGCCAATCTCTGGCCTATGTTTGTCGAAGGGCAATACAGGGCTGCCGCCAAGGAGGGTACCGCTGACTCCGCTGAAACGCTCCATAGAGCAACAACTATGCATGCATGGTGGTGCATGCGAAGCCCATGGAGCTTATGCGAGGAATGGAGTATGCCAGCATAAACCCCAAATCAAATCTCTCAAACGAATGCGGCCCCCTGCTGTAGCTACCGGCCCTGCAACAGCGCCGCCTCACTCCTTCCTTGGCTGCGCTTGGGGCCACTCGTCGTGAGTTTCGTGCTCATTCCACGGTTGTTCTTGTTCCTTGTGGGTTTCAAGGCCAAGAGGCCTTTACTTTCACAACTCTTACAAGGCAAGACTGTGTTGTAGCAACAGTGAGAGCGGAAGCCGTAGCCTTGTTAGCCGTCGTCGTCGTCGGCGTTCTGGTGCTCGTCGCGTCTTCGCGATGATAATAAAACTAACAGCAGGTGGATGCACAGCAGTCCTGGTAGGAATACTAGCGGTAGCAGCATGACATGCTGGTACTTGAATCTTCCGGAATTTAGGGCGGGGGTGGTGGGATGCCTAGGGCGCAAGCGCTCAAAGGTTCAGGGTCCAGAATTGGAGGCTTCGCTCTCAGCTCTGAGAATAGACCGCGAGACCCTACTTCCCCTTTGCTGCGTGCCCAGCATCTTCTTCTTGCTGGCCCGATAAACACCGACAACCAAGGCATGGTCACGATGATAGGGCTCCTGGGCGAGAACCATCCAAATTCCGTGATTGTCTGGAGGCCTTCTGGCGCATCTGTGCCGTAGGTGTGGGAGAGGGCGGGGAATCGAAAACCGACAAAAAGGTCCAACGAAGACTGGCTTTAGGCTCGACCTGTAGCCGAAAAGACCTCACCTTTCGGGGTTCCTTTACTATGGTTTCTAGGTATAGCATCTTAAAAAGGGTAGGTTCTTTGGGCCACAGGTCGAACCATCCTGGCCCCTGAAAGCCCTCAGATCCGAGGCGCCAAGGTCAGCTGCTCTTTGGGCTTCACTCCATCCTTGCCTAAGCTCTCGCGGTTTTTTTTCTCGAGAGGCTTTGAGGGGATTTGATGAGGGCTCCTTCGAGGGGGCCTAGGCTCGGGGACAATTTTTGCAACTTGGCCAGCACACCAGAGAAATCAAAAGACGCTTCATGGCACAAGCAAAGCCAAGACCAAGAGAAGTGGGAGGTTCCGAAATTAGGGTATCCTATTTGGGGAGTCCTTATAATAAGGATCCTACTATTTAGGGTACTAGATTGTGGTCCCCTATTTTCTGAAACCCCCAAGTGGCGCAGCTTGTCGATCTCCATGGCAAAGACAGCCTCCGGGGCCGCCGTGGAGTCCACGCAGTTGGCCTGGCTCCGGGTCCCTGGGTGTTTCTAAGGCCTTTTGGGTGTGCGGTTTGGGCCACTTGTATCATGTGTCTAGCCGAAGCGCTTCTTCCGGATAGTCTTGGTGTTGGTTCTCCGGGTCATGATTAGCTGTTATGAGAATTTCGGTGATGGCGATGGCGGCTGTGACGACAAGGAGTGATGCTAATGCTCCGGCATCTAAGGTTGCGGGTTCTATGCTGGTGATTGGGGCTGGCGGCATCCTTAACCCAGTGTGAGAGGATCTAGAATAATCAGAGACTGTGAACTATTACAACTCGAACATTCCAGGCGAGGCTTCATAGTTTCGATCCCAAGGCAGCCTGCTCTTCACGTGTCTCAAACAAAAGCAGCGCAGGAATTACCAGGCCTGCTCACCGGTTCTTTGTTTGCGAAATCTTCACTACGCAACATGCACTAAAGCTCAGAAATGTCCTCCGGGCTGAACCTCGACCTGGAAGGGGAGGAGTGTGAGGGGAGAAGGAAACAAGCAGCGACGGGCCTTGATGGAGATCATGACCCAGCCGTTGTTCTTCAAGAAGAAGCCGGCATTGTGCGTAACGATACGCGCCTGATCCGGCTGCGCCACATCGGAGAAGATCACGTCCACCATGCCAATAAGCATTCCTCTGCCATGGGAGTTCATGGTGACAGAATGGAAGGAACCCAATGTGTGGCCAACTGTCAGAGCCTGCATTTCCATAGAAAGCTCCAGGGCTTGGTAACTAAATCCGATCCAAACCCGCGGAGAGAACTCCTTTGCATAAATTCTTGCAAAGCAAACCAAGAACAAAGCTCAACCCCAAGCCCTGCAAAACCGCCGCAACTGAAAACGGAAAGCATTCTGACCAAGCATCGGTAGCGCTGTGGCTGTCTTGCGTCCTCGACAATGGGCACCACCTCGCTTTCAACTGCTTGACACAATGTTCGGAGGGCGGCTCAGCGTTTCCGGCCCGAAGTGGGACTGCAGAGTCAGATAGGGCACACCGCAAGCTTCCACCCTCTCGTCTCAGCTAAACTGTTTTGGAGAACTTTCCCCAGCTTCTTGCAGTTCAGTGTAACAGGAGATCACATTCCTTGAAGCTTCCACCCTTGCGTTCGTAACGTGATGGTGACCTCCCAACCAAATCCGTGAATCTGTACATATTACTAAGGGTGGAAAACATAAGCCCTAATCAAGGAGCAGAGTGATACAAAAATCCCAAATCCTCCAATAGCCTCTCCCAGCTGCCCAGGGGCATTGGGGCGTCGCTTGGCCATGTTCGTGAGGTCTCGCCCGGAGCGATGGGAGAACTCCACGGCATAGACGACCCCCTCCGGCCCGACCATGTCGGAGACGTGGGAGACCGTGGTGCCCGAGGCTCCGCCCAGGTACAGGACCTCCGATGATGGGCGGGGGCTCTGGGGTGGTTCGGGCTCTTAGGTTAAGCAGGGCTCTGGCTTCGGGGTTTAGGGTTCGGCAACGAAGGCGTTGGTTTTTGTGGCTTTTTTTGTCTTCGTGAGGTTGGGTTTTGGGGTTTTGGCATTTTGGGCTTGGGCTTGGAGCTCCGTCCAAGTCTCACCTTCCAGTGTTCATTCAGGGCGAGATCACCTGGTCCTTGAGCGTTAAAAGACACGCGAAAGGTTAAACCTCAAGCCTAGCTACGAGTACCGCTACTACTCCCCCAACCCACCTTTGCTCCGGGCTTCACCGGGCAGGCCCCGATACCTGCAAGGTGTCGGGCGGCTTGGAAAAGGCTGAGAGTGTCGGGCTTTCTGGGTGTTCTCCCTCCAGCTTTTTGGGGACGTGCTTGCAGCCTTTCTTCTGCGACCGGAATGATTAGCTCTGCTTTTAAAGGTAGAACAAAAAAACAACTCTCAAAAATCCTAAAATCCTAAAAAAGAAGCCGTACCCCAACGCTCGCCATCTCGCAGCGCCAACTCCAAAGTGCCACCGGTTGCGGAACTGACGAACCCAGATGTCCCTCTTCAAGGCCCCCACCAAAAAAAAAGGCTACATAAAACGATGCCATAAACTTCTACAGCGGTTTGCAGACCTAAAACCCTGAAGCGCTACAAACCCAGAAACCGAAAAGCGATAAACCCCAAGTGAGAAACCCAAAAACCGTCCAGCAAAAAGCCCTGGAACCGCTCACCCCGAAAGGAAGCCACACTGAACTAATCGGACCCACAATCAAAAGAATCCCCCTCACCCCAGAAGCAAAAAACAGCAGACTGAGCTAAGCAGGCCCCACCATCAAAAGAAGAGCTACACGATACTAGACGATACTATACGACACTATAAGATACTAAAACTATGCTATGCTATACCCCCAAACCCTAAACCCTAAACCCCCTAAACCCTAAACTTCTAAGAGCTCCTCCCTCCTCCCCGGATGTTTGACGCCTCCGACGATGCCAGCTCCCAACTTTGAGCGAAAGGGGTTCCACACGCGGTATTCGATCCTTAGGGCTTTTTAAGGGTTTAGGGTTTAGGGTCAAGTGGGGTTCTAAGGCTCCTTTAAAGCGTTCTATAGGGTTTAGGGTGTTGGGGTAGTTATAAGTCCCCTAATATGAGTTAGAAGTATAGCTACCCTACTTATAACCCCATTTATAACTGCCCATGAACCTCCAAGTAGGGCTTTTTAGGGATTTAGGGGGTTCGGGGGTTCACGCTCTCGGACGCAGGGGGCTCAGGGTTTCGGGGTCGTGCTTGCCGGGTTTCGGGTTTCGGGTTTCCTGCGCCTTTCCGGGTTTGATAAAGCTGAGGACATGGAGTTCAGGCCTTGAGGATGGCCGCTTGGCTTTTTCAGCACTCAGAGCTGGGAGAAGCCGGGCCGGATGTGTCTGGTACGGGCGACGAAGGTGCTTGTGCCAATTAGGCAACGCTGCGATCTTCACAACTTTCCGACTAACACACTGCACAAGGCCCTATAGGCCAGGCATCGGACAGCAAGCAAAAGACCTGATTTCCGCCCCCATTCTGATCACCTCGTCCTCTCTTCTTGCAGCAACGGCCAGCACGAAAGCGCACGAACATATGCCTTCATGTCTCGTATCCAGCTACACTGTCAGGAACATCTAGAGCGATGTGTCAAACACGGTTAGACTAAAGAGGCGTGAGACCAAGTGCAAAGACCCCCTACATCGAATCAGGAGCTTTGCAGATGCAAGTACCTCTCTGATCTCCACTCACACGCTCTCGCAAAAGTACTCGCACCCCTGAAGCCCACAGCCCACAGCTTGGGGGAGACACTTCTCTTCGCCATCCGCAGCTTCAGCCACGAGCCGCTTCTCGCCGTAGACCTAGACGATGACAGAAGCGGAGGGCTGTTTACTTTTCTGGGTCCATGTTGGATACATGTTTACATTTTTGTTATAATAAAACCCAATAAGGATTAAAAGTGATCATCTTTAATATAACCCCAACAGGGAACCAGTTTTGGGCTGGCCACCAGGCTTTCCGCTCCGATTCAAAGAATGCAAAGGCACAGTTAGATGGTCCTAGTAGTTCCCTAAACCGTTTCTGCACCCAGACTCTGCCGATCAGCTGAAACCCTAAACCCTAAGCCCTTTAGAAGCGGCCCTTTCGAAGGTCCATACAAAGCGCCCCTCAGAAATCAAACCGAAAAAAATAAAAAACATCCAGCAAAACCTCCCAACCCCCTGGACTTGAAGAGACAGGGTTTAGGGTTTAGGATTCAGGGTCTAGGGTTTCGGCGCTCTCACTCGCACGGCATAGGGAAAAGGGTCACTCCGGTTCATCCGGGCCACCGATTCGCCCGGAACAAGATTCCGAGTCACGAGGGAATCGTCCTGGAGGCTTGAAGGCTCTGGCATTGGTTTAATCATGTCCGTTGGTCGCTTCACATGGCTTCGATCTTCATCAACATCACCCCTGACCCCCACTGACTCAGCGTAATCATCGCCACCATGCCCACTATCCCAGCACAGACCCACGGGGATTCACGGAGAACGACAGGTCGACAAGTCACCGGCCCGGGAGATCGTAAAACAGGCATTTCCAAATCATGCAACCAAAAAAGAAGCCGCATTGCATGTTGAAACTGAACGACAGTTTACCTGAAACTCCTAGGGATCTTTCTAAGCCCAAGCAGCGCTTCTCTGGGTCCTTAGTCATGCAGCCAACACTTCCTTGCCCCCTGCTGCCGCCTCTTGTTTTGTCGCCGCTGAAATGCCTCATAAAACCAAACAACAATTTCAACCCTGAGCAGTAGGATCCTTGTTGTCAGGAAGGCTACATAAGGTGCCCTTCATTGCCTGAAACCTCCGAAACCAAGCATGCGCCGTGCCAGGGGCAACAAGTCTGGATGCCCCTCTAACCACACGCGCAATAACTGTGGCCACCCCTCGTCAGGATGATTGCTGTCACACTTGGGACGATGATGCTCGTCATCGTAAGTATCCCGTCCCTAAGCCCTTAAACATTCCCCGGCGGGTCCTTGCCCTTGGACACGAACGCACCCTCGTGGCCTTGGCATAGGGAGATCTAAGGCTTTGCACTGCGAATGCTTCGGGTCTACTTGGAGGTTCCTGGGTAGATATAAGTGGGGCTATAAGTCCCATAATATGGGTTAGAAGTAGAGTTACCCTTCTTAGACTCCCATTTATGACTACCCAAGAACCTCCAAGTAGGGTTTGAGGGTTTAGACTGGTGGGTGAAGGCATCAGCAACCACGGCGCACGAAACGAAAAAGTTCGCTATCTCGATTGGACGTTTCCAGCCAAGGGCTGTCAGTGGGGGAGCAGGGGCTCAGGGTATCGATTTTTTCCACGAGAGATCGACTAGACTGAAGCTCGGCCACCCTTCTGCCAAGATGCGGTGTGCTTCGATCACAACTTTCGCCGCGCCGCCCTTCTTTCCTCCACCCTTACCGCCCTTCCCACCCTTTCCTGGGCTTGTGGGCTTGGGGTTTACTAAAGGTTTTCCTCGAGCTTTGTTTATCGGCTTGTTTGAAGTCTTTACGCTCTCGCAACTCGGACTCCGCCAGACGAGGTCTCTTGTGTCCAACTAGATTCTCCTCTACCAAAATAAAGGCTTTAGGGTTTAGACTCTCGCAACTTGAGCTTTAGGGTTTAGGGGTTTCATTAAGCTCGAAGCCGAAGAGATGGCATCTGCTGGTTTTACGTGATATGGCTCACAGATTCGATCATCTTCCAAGGGGCCTCCTCCCTTCTTCCCCTTTCCCTTCCCTTTGACTTTTCCTCAGCGCGGCGCAGGGCCAAAGGATGCAGCGACGTTCGGAACACAGCTCGTTATGAGACGAGGGGAGCCCTAGATCCTCCAATGCGAACCGGGGCGCCTTTCCCCTTCCCTTTGTCGCCTTTACCTTTGCCGCCCTTTCCCATCGCCGCTGCACAAGAGAGCACCAGCGGAGACCGGGGGCACTTTTGAGCCAGGGCGGCAGAATGCATGAATAGTTGCTGACTGCTTCGGTTGATTGCATCGCTGTGGCTGCCAAGCCTGGTCAAAACCGTTCTGCACATGGATCTCGAAAAACGTACGTGGTTCGTGTCTGTGGCCACTGTGTGGACCTGCTTCGACCACCCTTTGCAGCCTTATAGAACCTTCATGCCCCGGATACGCCCAGAACAATGGCCTGAATAATCAAGACAGAATTTTGGGATGCGTGTTAATAGACATGTCTGGGAACAGCCGGGGCGAAATGCTCAAGATTCAGGCCCCGGTCTTCTCCGCGAAACCAGGGCTTGGGGACGTGCCCTTGCAGATCCGTGGCCGCGGGCTGCAAGTGCGGTAGCGCCGTGGAGGCCCTGGGACAGAGGTCGTCTGGGAAGAGACTGAAGCTGAGACGAAGATGGTGACGACAATGACGTTGACGATAATGTTGCTGATGCTGATGATGCTGTTGATGATGATGATGATGATGATGATGAGGATGAGGATGATGGGCGGAAGCGGTGTGGCACTAATGGAGAACATGAAAGCCGCGATGATGCCAGCGGTACTGATACGGCCACGGCTGGTTGTGGCGGCAACAGCGATAACAAGTAGGCGGAGGAGGACCGTTGCTAAAGACCAGAAGGAAAGTTGAAGTCGTCGCAGCGGTAATAACATCGATTCTCGTACGAAGGCCGTTAGGCATCTAGTATTCGGAAGTTAGGGATCCGGCTCCGGGACTATGCCCCCGGGGGGTGGCGGCACCACGGTCGGCAACCTCAGCAACCCGACGAGAAAAGGGCCACAGGTGCTTTGCTGATTTGAAGACCACCATGTGTTGAACTCTTCATGCTGGTCACCATGTGCTAGCTTACTTGAATGCCTTGCCTTGGTCCAATTGGTGAAACGCCTGCATTGCTGCGAAGCCTGAACCCAACTCCAGCCCAAGCCAGTGGCGGGTGCAAGGGCGGCTGCGACATCGTTGCCTGGGAGCCGATGGGCGTAAGAACACGAAAACAGTTCTGCTCCACAACGAAGGTGGCTCACGGTTGCGGACGACAGCCGAGGCTAAAGTCTTGAAGTTTCAAGGGTCCTGGCCTAGCGGCTTGGTGCTCAGGACTTCATTTCAAGCACGACTTGGCTCCTCCCTAACCAAGCTGCTGAACACCGCGGGCGTCTCCCAAAATGCCACCGCTAGCGTCTGGCTCTAGGAGGGGTTTCTGAGCAGCACGTATCTTTCGTAGGCTTCTTGAACTCTGGTCAAGTTGGGGCATCTGAGGCCCTAAGTCTGACGTCTGCTTCTGATGGTACAGGAATACTATATTTATAATAAGGACCCCCCAAAATAGTATAGGAAATTATTTAAAATTCTAGCATCCTTTCAGGAAGGCATGCTGATCCTGTGGGCCTCCCTCTGAGCCAGACCGCAACTGCAGCGGCGCACATTGACAGCTTGAGGGCATTCGCTTTGAAAACGAAGGCTTGCGCAAACTACAGTAATGCCCTTCTGTGCCAGAATACTCAACATCTATTCCGACATTTGATCTAGAGTTGTGCAGACCTCCCCTGTAGCAAAGCCAACGCTGCAAATGGCAAGGGACTGATCGAAAAACACCGCGCTTAGAAAGAGCACTCTTGCAGCAAGAAAAGAAGCAGGATACGTGGCACAGTTACATGCATAAAGCATATCGATGGGGCTCTCAGCCCTAACCCCTAAACAACCTGAAACCCCAAACCCCTAAACCCTAAACCCTAAACCCTAAACCCTGAACCCTAAACCCTAAACCCTAAACCGTGGCTCAGCCTCCTTTTACCACGAAGGTGGCCGGCCGAAGCACATCGGCGCTTACGCCGACTCGCAGCCCGGAGGCCCGGGCTGTTCGCAGGTTCTGCTTGGAGGCTCATGGGTAGTTATAAATATGGGGTT